GAAGGGGGGGTTCTAATCATTTGTAGCAGACACTGTTGATATATATCAAAGCAATATAATTCTCTTTCTCGTTTATACTATTGTTCATCAGCTTATTATACTTTAATTATTCTTGCATCAACCAGTTCGAGGGTATCCAAACTCGAGGGCCGAGTTCCATTCTAACACTGGTTTTCTTTACTTTATTGTTAATTTCTATTACTCATCCTCACATCTATCAATTGGTATTAGGTGAAATCATGTGTCCTTAAAACCATATTATAAGTGTAATTGTTATTCAATTTTAAGGGTAAACATATATATTCTAGCATATTAAGTACAAAAAACTTTTATCTATTGTAATTTGTCATTTATATCTTTTAGAGGTTGCAATTCAATCGCTTGTTGTGCTACATGTAATTATCTGTAATTGACTTTTAAGCAGACAAAGAAAAAACAATTTCACATTTGCTACAGAGTTAATCATTAAACTTGTTAAAAAAATTGGAATCCTCCAATATCTCTTGTCTAACTCCCTATCCTCTAATATCTCTTAGCAATTGCTGGAATTATATATTCAGTATCCTGCATTCATGACTTATCTTAAGCCAGTTGGTGGTGGTGCACCCATCTTCTTGAAATCCTAGATTTGCCTCTGCTTTGGAACACTGTAAATTAAACAAACTACAACCTCGAACCCATAAATTTCAAATCTTAACTTCGCCTTCGATTATTGGGTGATGATGGTGGTTATAGTTAGTAGCTAGTAGTGATGGTGACATACAATAGTGGGTTAATGTTGGTAGTTTATGGTTGTAGTTGGTGTCAATGACTGATAATTATGGTGGATGCTAGTGAGCTATGATAATGGTGATTGTCAGTATTAATTGGTGGCAGTTGTGATGACGATAGTTGGTAGTGATGATTCTATAAATGGTGGTTGGTAGTGGTGATGACTAACTGTGGTGACTGACGATAGCGGATAATATAGGATGGTAGTTGATAATGGTGTGTGATAACAATGATATTTAGCGGTTAAAGGGGATGGAAAAGTAGTGAAAGGACATGTTTGAAGAAATACATTAATGGAGCATCTTAATGCTATTAAAGACTTTGGTATATGTCTTAATTATTTGGATTGTCTATTCAGACCTATTAAGTGGTTATAAAAGACAAAGAAAAAAAATATTTAATAATTGAGATTGAGACCTAAAAACAAACCCACATAATAAATGAAATATAGATGATTAAGATTCAAACTTTTTCATTTAGTGCAAACAAAGGGGCCTTAGTCTTTCTTTCCTTTTCCTTTTCAGTCTTGAATATATCATTTCTTACCATTGCTTGGCTTTCGTTGTTGTTCTTTTAATTTTGTTTCATAATAATGCTCCTTGTTGTTATACTATAGAAATAGAAGAAGAGTGGAGCAAGTTTGCAATAAGCTCTCGCCATTATTACATTCTCAAATTGGTGACATAATAGTCACAAGTGACCATTCCATGCATGTGCAAACCCATTGTTAAGTTAAATCATTGTTCTTGTGCAAAAGGAAACAAGAACAAAAGAGTACAAGAAGTTAGGAGGAAAATACTCGCATTATAGATGATTTTTTCCATTATTGAGTTCATCTTCATGCATCAAGTGCAAGAAATGTCGTCGAATTGAAGGGTTTAATTCTTAGCGATCCAAGAAATTAATACCCAAAAAATTTAATTCCACCCCCGCAGCTTGAAACTCATAAACTTAAGTTGGAGGTATTTTATTAATCCCTTGGCGTTGCAATTCATTCAACACACTGTCAATTGAGGGAGGTTTGAGTCCGAGGGGAAATGGTGGCAGACATGGCTTTGCTAAAACATCTCCAATGGCCGCATCTATGCTCTCCTTTGACTATCACAATATTCAGAAAAAAAGATGTCAGGAAAACCGTCAAAATTTTGAAACACGTAATGAGCAAATTCACTAGTACATAAAAGTTAGGACTAACAATATTTATGACTTGAATATTTAAAGTTGTGTAACTTATACTTTTAGAAGAGATTGCAAAGAACAAATGCATTATTTTTCCTCGTTTATGACCTTTTTATTTTGTAACGTTAAAGTCATAAAATTATTTTTTGTAACAGTAAAGTCATTAAACTAAGTATATGTAACAAAATTAATTTTCGAAAAAGAGAGAACTCACGGGATGAAAATTAGGAGGAGGTTTAGGCAGATCTTGTCGTGCTCCGGTGGGGACAACTTTGATCATGGCAGGGGATGGGATGCCCGAAACTGGAAATCTCTGCGTGAAATTATAGTGTGATTAAATAAGACAAAAAACTTATTTAAATATGTATGCATTTTTTTTTTCACATTAATACGAAATATATTAAAAGGGCAGTCGGGCACTAAGCTCCTATTATGCGCAGGGTCCCCGGGAAGAGCAGGATCACAAGAATCTATTGTACGTAGTTTTATCCTATATTTTTGCAAGAGGCTGTTTCCACGACTCGAACCCATGACTTCTTGGTCATAGCAACAACTTTACCAATTACGCCAAGATATATCAAAAACCAAAAAGCGTACAACTGAAAAATAGACTTCATATAGCAAAAAGTTGATTGATTGAATAGTTACCGTGGGCGCTATTGGTGAAGGAAAGCAAGGAGTGCCTGGTGCAAGAGAGTTTAGTAACTGCACCAAAAGAAAAGAGAATATTAGTTCACTCCCACAATTATATGAATATAAATTCCACAGATTCAAGTAGGGACGGAGCTAGAAGCCTGGTTACGTGTTCGATCGAATTCAGTAACTTTTGCTCAAATAATGTATTTGTGTTAAGAAATTCTTTAAAAATATACAAATATTAAATTTAGAACTCAGTTGTTAGTACTTGAAATCGTCGTTCCAAGATCCAGAACTCATAAAGTTAAAATCCTGACTCCAGATGTGGATTCAAGCCATACTTGTTCATTCTCTCAACAACTATAATATTTTCAAGTGAAAGAATATACTACTAAATATCCTTACACAGTTGATGTTCTACTAGAAATATTAGTGTTATTGCTTTAATTCAGTGCATATAATTTAAACTTAATTGAGAGAAAAGCAATAGAGATTGAGAACAAAAAGACACTCACTCTTTGATGGTGTGAATGCCAAAAGGAAGGATCTGTAGGTGGTGAAGAATGAGGAGGAACAACCGATGCCCATGCTGGTGGGAGAGGCGTTATATGTTTCGGCCACATGTGCATCATAGATTGATCGGTGGGTGGATGACCCCAGACGTGTAGAGGTCTAAAATGAGGCGGCACCATTGGTGGTGCCGTCATAGGTGGAAAACCCATGGTTGGTGATGCTGCCGTCCATGGGTTTATCTCTCTATTTCCGCCACCTCCAACGACGACTGCACCGCCGTACATTTGTTTTCTTTGGCTCCAGATTTCCGCCTCCGCTTCTCTCGCAAGAAAATGTTTCCGATGGGCTCTATATTTCTGCACATATAACAATGTCCCTTCTATCAGCTTGGAGATTAGGATTTAAATTATCGACAAAGATAAAAGAAAATAGGCAGTAAGCTCTTTCCATTTGTCTAAGTCTTGTTGTACAAATTAGTTACTTGATACTTGCATGAGCTAACGGAAGGTAACATGTACTTGATAGAATAATTGAGGTGCACAAAAGTTAGACTAAAAAATATTATATTCTTGTAGTATTTAATTAAACTACTTGAACTAGAGTAGAACACAATATTGTAATCTAGCAAGTGAGTTCTGCCTTTTATTAAAAGGTGGTCGGTAAGATAACTGAAGTCAAAAGAGAGAATTTATTCGATCTTTTGCACCAGAAAAAATACTTCTATTATGAGCAAAGCAGAAAGCTTCGAAATTTGCAGGCAAGACATGCTTTTTCTCTTTGTAGATAGAAATAAGCTATTTGGCTAAAAAAAACAAGGGAATGCAGCCATAACGGCTCGTACAATTGATAGTGATCTAATCCTTTTTCAAATTAATTTCCACTGAGCTACTCTTGAGTAGCAGTGGCAGAGCTACATAGCTTCAAGGGGGTGTCAGTTGATTTTCCTTCGCTGAAAAATACACAGTTTAGACAGATAAAAATTATTTTTTTACGTATATATACTATATATTCCCTTTGACCTTTTCATATTTTTACTTTTTAAAATTTTGACATTCCTTAATGAAATGAAAATTATGACTCCGCGACTGTTGAGGAGGAGGTTACGAGGAGTACTTTTTATTTGCCATTGATACTAGTACACTCAATCTACTGAAAAATGATTATATTCTTGTTGTTCTTGAATATAGAAAGACTTAACAAAGAGAATGAAAAGTCAAGTCCAAACTAAATCGGATGTGGCCGAAGTATTGGGTTTATCTGAACCAGTATTTTTTATGCAGTACATAAATTATATATAACAAATTATTAAAATTACACGAGATAGTAGATATGAATATATAATCTTAAAAATATAATAAATTCAACATTAAAATACTCTTATATGTTGAATCGATAGAACTTAAATCCTGAATCCATCTAACGAAAAGAAGAATGCTTACTTGAAGATGGCTAGCAATGTTATGGCGAGTGAGACCTTCAACCCCCATAAGTTCTAAAATCCTAGATGGGACTGCTTTATCTACACCTAATTGCTCTACTGCTTGAACAAATCTCCTGTGTAGCTCTGGAAATCCACCTTCACACAATTCAAGAAACTTTCCATTTTATCCAAAATAAAAAAACTCAAGCTGGAAAGAAAATAAATTAAAGGACAAACAAATAAAGAGAGAGAAAAACATTACCTTTTCTTGCCGTTGTTACTTTCATTACTGTATTTTTTTTTAAACCAATGCTATGACTGTGTTTTGTTTGAACAGAGATTCTGTTATAAATAATATCTCTACCTTCGCAAAGTTTCTACCTTCGCAAAATAGGCCGCATATACACTATCCTTCTAGAACACCATTTATGAGATTATACTGAATTTATTATTATTATTGTAGTCCTATATATATAACAAAATACAGTTAACCTATATCTAGCATATATAGGTGTACGGAGTTATTAAAGTTATCTGCAATTATCTTAATGATTTAATTGTGTAAATATTTTTATTATCATTGAACTTAAACTCCGAAAGAAAGGTTTACTTCCTATGAATTACATGAAAACCCTAAAAATGTACTACTAAAGTGAGGAGCATAGTGAAAAGTTCATTCCTCATGTTATTTCGTGGGAAAAAAACTAAGACCAACAACAACGATAATAGACCCAATATAATCCCACAAATAGAGTTTCAGGAGGATAGTGTGTATGCAGTTTTATCCCTACCTTGTGATAAGACTAACAACACCGATAGAGATGTTGTTTACGACAGACACTCGGCTCGAAAAAAAAAAACTAAGATAGAGAGATGATATTTTTGTATTATATTTTCCTCAAATCTTTTTTTGTTTTACCTTCACTTTTCTCTTCCCTTCTGGATTTTTGGATTGCCCCGTTGATTTCTTGCACTTATCATTTTCCTTTGACTTGGGTTTAGATTTTTCGCTCTTCTGATTCAAATCTGATGGTATTTTTTCCACCACTTCTTTTCTGAAAGAGTTGTTTTCTTCTACGTGGAATGGTGGTGTAGTATTATAAATATTCATATGATCAGATTCGTCGCCACTACTAACTGAGAATTCAGCAAGAATCTCTGAGTCCATCTCCAAATCTGGTAATTCATCATCGTTGACGACGTTGATCCCCAAGAAAATGTCATCAAAATCAATGCTTTCGAGCAAATTCCCATCACCAAACTCTGGAAAATCATCGATTCCTCGAATCGTGAAACTTTCCATGTCATTTTTGGTGATTTTGTAGCTCAAAGGTGATACAGTAAGCATCCCAAAATGTAAGTAACCTTCAAGAAATCAAATGCCTTTTTATTTTTTGTAAAAATGCCACGTGAAATTAAAATAAGGATGCAGAAACTGGAAACACCAAAGGAGAAAGAATTCAAGTTTTGGAACTGATGAGGAGAGGACTGTTGTATAAGAGGGAGAGGAGAGGGTGGAAAGATTTGATTTCCACCACAACATATGTAGAAGGTCTCTAAGATTTTGTAGTTTTCTCTTTGTTATGGTAGTATTTCCTTTTAATATTTAAAGGGTTTGTGGATGGCCTTTTTTCGAATATAGAAAAAATCTAGTATTACAAAAGCTCGTGAGCTGTTCTATTAGCTTTTGTTTCTTTTTACTATTTTATTGAGATGAGCTAAGTGAAGGTTTCAAATTGATCTCAAAGCCAGTGGCGGGGCATTTACTGTCGAGTAAAAATTTGAGCAAATATTGTAGTTGGAATCGAACTCATGCAGCACAATAAAAGTCTAAGTTGTGTCCCCAAATCGACTAATGCAGCTGCCTAAGATTTGAATTTTAGGGTGCCTATCAAAAATATATACATGTTATTTATGATATACACACATATATATATATATATATATTTTTTTCCGAAATTACTGGGGGGCAATGACCCCTACCCGAAGGGTAGGTCCGCCTCTGCTCACAGCTACCTCTAAGTTGTGATGGAATGATTTAGACTCCTTCAATATCCTGTAAAGATTTCGATTTCGAGTTCGAACTCGAGGAATAAAAACCTTCTACTAGAGAGTGGATCCATATGTATGAATTCATGTATATCCGTTGGAATATAATAGTTGGGAAAAAAAAATGGAACGTTATGGGTGTGTTTGGTATAACGGAAAATGTTTTCCTTCATACCAAACACACCCTATATATCATAGTTAATCTAACAATGTTTGCTTTAATTTCTTGCTAGAAACATAAGGTTAGATGAGGGTGTAAAATAGGTAGGCTGGAATTACATTTGCACGGATCAGAATAGGTTGAATCAAAAAGAGGATTGGGCTATCACGGCACAACGCGAATTAATTTGAGCTAAACAATGGGTTATATTCAAACATGTTAACTAAAAAGTGTTTATTTTTTTGTGTTTTGATAAATTCTTGTATGGGTCAATTCGAGCTACATATGTATTCCAAATTCCCAGACCAACTCATCCAAATCTTAGCAGATTTGACGTGATATATTTTTATGGGCTAAATTTGGGCAAAATATAGTGATGTCTCATATATAAAAAATACCATCTGCTATTTAGCAAAATATAATGATGCCTCATGTATCAAAAACACTATTTAATTTTAAAGTACAATCAAACATTTCTATAACATCTTCATTTATTCTTAATTTTTTTACTGTTATAGTGAAGTGCTATTATATAGAACATATATTATACATAGCAAAAAAATTGGTTCCATAAATTTTTTAGCTTTTATAGTATAGAGAGGTCTGACTGCATCACGAAATTCATAAATTTTACCTAATTGAGTATGCAAAATTTAGTATAGAGCAAAGATTTAGCACCCGTTTGGCCATAGATTTTGGCTTCATTTTTTAATTTTTCTTGAAAATATTGGTTGTTTATGAAATATGATCATGTTTTAGGGAAAAAATTTCAAGTTCTCAAAAACTGGTTTATGGTATGTTTTGGGTGGAAATTTTTCTCACTCGCAAAACTTCAACTTTTATTCAAATAAAGTGCATGTCCAAATACAACTTTAATTTTCAAAAATTATTTTTCAACACAACTTCAAAATTTTTTTTTTTAAGTTTCAATCAAATCTACATTCAATCGCTAGCTTAGACCGAAGACCAGGATCACCTCACAAGCGGCTCTAGGTTGAAAATATATAGTTAACAACCCAAAAACATATGAAATTATTGAAATGGCCAAAAGTTTTTATTTAATATTAATACTCTTTACTTCCTTAATGTCAGAGTTTGAAGTATAATCAAATTTTAAAGTTTAATATACGCACACAAAGACACAAATAATAATACTAAATTTTAATCTTTACTGTTAAAAATATTTTAAAAATTCAGAGAAAATCATATGTTTGCCGCTATTCAAGCAGCAAGTATTGTAGTGTCTTAAGTTGAAATGAAATTGGTCATTTTTTCATTAGATTTAGGCTTTCTTATAGCCCTTTGGGTACATATTGTGAGTGGTTTTCGTGTTTTTTAAAAGAAATTTTGATATTCTTATTCAAACACTCAATGAGTTTAATTTTTAAAAAATTCCAAAAAAGAAGCAGCCATTTGCATTATCACTACAGGGTGGGACGGATCAATAAGGGTTGTGGTTGAGGGACAAGTACTCCTTCATCCTTAATTAGAAATTTTGAATTTAAGTCCTGGGTATGGAGTCACCTTTATTAGGAAGCGCTTACTATCCATTCTCCAATATAGCATTTTCCGGCGCGAATCCAAATTTAATCTGACCTCAATGCAAATATCGGACACCGAATGAAATACAAAAAGACACGTGAGATGGTGATGTAGTTTTTATCCAAACACTTAATGATATTAGGACTTCCGTTCCTATATTTAAGATGCAATAATAACTGAACAGTCTCCATCAATTTACGAAAGATGTAGAGATATCACTTTCTATTGTGTCATTTGCTTTGCATGTAATTACCCTTCTTCCCTTTAAATTGGATTAGCGATAAATCATCTTAAGTCATACCTTTGCTTTAAAGCTAAGTTTTAATCATAAAGCAGTGTTGCTTCAAAATACACACGCAAGTATATATGGTCGACAAATAATAAAGACTGAGTAGAGTATTGTTCCCACGAGGACTTGAGATTAACTATCAGCTAAATTAAACTACAACAATTAATCTATTCATGCGATTTTCTAAAGTGTAATTATTTAACTAAAACTACTCTAGAGTAGTAAATTAAGAAATTAAAGGGAACAAGTCGGCAAACTTATAGACGAATTCAATGGGAGAAAATATTTCAGAGCCATGAGTTAGCTAACAATCCTATTGAGTCTTCCACTTAAATTGTCTAAATAATTTATCTGGTTTATTGATTGGCATGGTTAATATTACTCGTAGTATTCTTCTGAAGTACTACTCGTTTATTCAAGTTAATCTAACGCCTATATTCCTATGGAATTATGATCAATAAGAACACATTAATAATTCACGTATAGTAACCAAGTAAGGCGACTAGGTATATCTCTATCTTAATCGCGAATCCCTTCCCCGATGCACAGGTTCAAGATCTTTCTCTACACAATCCTATTTGCAATCTAGAATTTCCTCTTCCAAGTTCAATCCTAGATTCATAAATAGTATTCAATTGGTGATCAAACAATCAAACAATTAACGCAAGATTGAATAAATAAATCAATATGATAAACTAATAAGAACAATTCAAGTTTCAAACTACAGCGTTCATGTAGCACCCACAACTCTAGAACTAATAAACTATGAGATTAAAGGAAGATAAGAGGAGAAAAACTAGTTGAAAGCTTGCTCCAACATGCGCCGATATGAATTCTCCTTCAAAGTGGCGTCCTCCCTCCCAAAAAATGTTAAATATCCTCCAAATAAGTTTAGGACCCTTTTTATACAAGTTAGAGGTGTCTAGGGCCCAAAAAGACTTCTCCAAGTCGAAATAGGACAATTCTCGAGATTGGGCGCCCTTGGCAGCGTGTCGCGCTAGCCTGGGCGCTGAAAATTTTGTTCTGTTTCTAGCGCCACAGTAGTGCGTTGTGCTACCCTGGACGCTGGAATTGGGCACTTATCCATATTCTTCTTTTTTTTAGCTTCAACTCATGCACAGTCAATCCATTTCACTCCCAATTAATTTCTACACATATAAATATCAAAAATTAGCTCAACTCATGGTAATTACACTTTAGAACCAATAAGAATAGAGCAAAATGTGAGGCGATTCATATATACAAAAATAAATACTTTTGGCCAAACATCAAGTAGTTCACAATTTTTTGCTTACTTCATTCCAATAACTTGTAGTTAAACAACTTAAGTACCAAGCCAAAACCTGAAATAATAAGAATTTTTTACACAAACCATGAGATTCACTAGTTACTTGTACTAGCCAATATACAAAGATTATGTACTAATTATACATGATTATACACATTTTATAAATAAATTTTATTTATATTACATTCGTCGGCTTTTTTTATTTTATTTTAATAGTTGAGTGGACGACTATATAGGTTAATTCTTCACGTAAGCATTATATTAATTGGATGACTTTAATAGGGAAAATCTTCATCCAATGAAAACTTAATAAGGTTAGGAATGTTAATAAGAATTCAAATTGTGATACTATTGACATATATCAACACCATATATTGATTAAAGTTTCCCAATTCAATGTCACGATCCGAAATTTTCCACCGACGGGGCCGTGATGACGCCTAACATTTCGCTTGCTAGGTAAGCCAATGTTAGAGAATCATTAAACCAATTTCTTATTTCCATTCAGTAATTAATAATAATTAACTAAGATGAAATATAATAAGTGCGGAATATCATAAAACTATATTCATTA